ATAAATTTTATTTGATGGTAGTAAAAATAAAAGATGAGCTGCAGCATTATCCAATTTATTTTTAAGTAAAATATTTATGTTGATATTATTTTTTTAAATCTCATTTGAAAGAGTCTGGGAAATTTTTTATCCGTTGAAACGGTTGGGAAATTTTTTGGGTTTGGGAGGAGAGGAAAATTGGTGGATATTTTAGAAGATTATATTTTTAAATGGTAAATTAAATTTGCATCATTAATTGAATACAATAATTGCATATTATATTCTACTCTCATAATATATTCAATGACAATAGAACCTGAATTATTTCAGCGCTCTCTGTTGAGCAGTAGCATAATATTATATTTAATAATAATCAATAAATATAAAATAATAATAAAATAATAAATAAATATAATAATTAATAGAATAAAATGGTTTTATTAAAAATTGTGTTTTATTTATATTGATATTGATATTCTTTCGATAGTACTAATTTTGATCATATTGATATCGAGTCGAATGAAGTATCGCAAACTAAAGTGCATTGTAAATGCAACTTTGTAATTTATTGGATTAAAAAAACCAAAAACCGGTTTTTTTGGCCGGTTATAACCGCCAGGTTAAACCCTAAGCAAATAAAACCGGTATAACCAAAAACCGGTGTTTTGTCAAAAACCGCCATCCCTACTACATATAATGTATATAGCGTATATATATAGCGTAGAATGTGAGGTCAGGTCAGAAGAGTACCAGATCATACTTTATATATATTTGGTTTAAATGCAACAACATTAATATACAACAATTTAATGAGTGACTGTAGACGGCAATTGATTAGATCCTCCGTCACATGTGACGAATAAAATTACTAGTCCAGTATATTATTTTTTTTTTTTAAATAATAAAAATATTTAAATCATTTTTAGGTAACATACACACCTTTCAGGGAAATATTAACATCCGCACCTTTTTGGGCTCTAACAGCAGCAGCCTTTGGTTATGTTTGGGGTTTTTGGACTTTGCAAAGTCAAATGCCAATGTATTTGAAATATGTGATGAAATTTGATATTAAATCAGTAAGTATATTTGTTTATTTTTATAGATGTACTTATTAATTCTGTTACTGATATAAGTTTTTACTTCTAAGCCTGATGATGTAGTATAGATTTTAATCCCCAAAAAACAGATTGCCCTGATGGTATTACAATAAATAATTAATTTGGATTATAAGTAACTGCTTTTACTTTACTAACTTAGTTAATATTGTCTCAAGTAACAATCAGTAAATAAATATAAAGATAGCTAGTCTTCTTTGGTTGTGAAATATACTAACCTTCTTCTTCTTCTTCTTTTTATATAGACTTGTTTTTTATTTTGCCACCAGCAAGTTGTCGTTCCATCGTTTTCGTGGTCTTCCTACTGATCGTCATCCTATTGGGAAACGGTCTCTTGCCGTATTTACTACTCTATTTGTTGTCATTCGGCTAATTTGATTGGTCCATTCTACTCTTTTATTTCTTACCCAGTCCTTGATGTTCTCCACCTTGCATATACGTCGTATATCTGTACTTGTAGCTGTTCCGTAGTGTCTTACCATCAAGTGTTTTTATCTCGGCTGTTTCTAACATCGTTTATAACCTATCTATGTTAGTTCTTGTTTCTACAGCGTATGTCACTATTGGTCTAATGACTGTTTTGTTTTAATATTTTTTAGATTTCTTTTAATAGTTGTTTGGTCAGATTTGGTCCTTCGTACTTTACGAGTTCGTTCGGTATTCTGTCCTCGCCAATGTTTCTTTTTTATTTGTCTAACTAAAGGATGGCTTAAGCAACAATGTATCGATCTAGAACATTTACAACGACAGCACGACGACCGTAATTTACATAAAAAGCTTAAGTAGACTGCTGGAATATACAGAAAACGAAGAATAACTACCATACTTAATCAGAATAACCAGATAGTGCTGGGTGAAAAGGAGAAAATTGATATATGAAAAAATTATATCCAGGAGCTCTTCCATGACGAAAGACCCATGAGTAAAGTTTATACAGACGACCAGCTGACTGGCCCTTCAATCACCAAAGAGGAGATAGAAAAGGCAATATTAAATTCATAAAACAATAAGGCACCTGGACGAGATGAAATCTCGTCAGAAATACTCAAATTACTGGATGAAATGGGAATTTCAGCACTACACACAAATATTTAATTTAATTTATGAAACTGGCTGCTATCCTCAACAGTGGTTGCGCTCTACCTTTATTCCGCTACCCAAGAAAGTCAATGAAAAAAGATGTGAGGATCACAGACTCATTAGCCTGATGAGTCACACTTTAAAAATATTCTTAAAAATACCACATCAAAGATTATACAAAAAATGTGAATGGGACATCAGTGATTTCCAGTTCGGGTTTAGGCAAGATTTAGGAACACGAGAAGCAATAGTAGCAACACAGGTGCTGGTCAAAAATTGTTACGATCAGCGGAAGGATGTGTTTCTATGCTTTTTAGATTACTAAAAAGCGTTTGATCGTGTCCAACACCACAAGTTAATGCAGATTCTCAAGAAAGTTGATATAGACCAAAAAGAGATCAGATGCATTAAAAACTTGTACTGGCATCAAACAGCACGGTTAAAAATAGACAATTCCATATCCAAACCCATACATATAAGAAGAGGCGTTCGACAGAGATGTGTGGTTTCCCCTCTTTTATTTAACATTTATTCGGAAGCCATATTTAAAGAGTCTTTGGAGGATGTAGAGATGGGAATCAAGGTGAATGGAGTATTGATCAACAACATACAATATATGCTGATGAGGGTGTCTTAATTTGTGACAACATAGTCGATCTTCAACAACTTGTCACTATAATCGGAGAATACAGTAAGCGAATGGGATTAGAGATTAATACTAAAAAGACCAAATTTATGATCATCTCGAGAAACTTAGATGCATTCAAAAACTCCACCATAACACTGAATAGTACTAAGTCCATTGAAAGAGTGAGTAAATTTAAATACCTGGGATCGTGGCTTTTTGAAAACTGGGCATCGGACAGGGAAATAAAATGTCGCATTGAGCAAGCTCGACAAGCTTTCGTAAAATTTAAGAAAGTACTGACTTGTTCAGAGTTTGATCTTCAACTGAGACTAAGGTTTACTAAGTGCTACGTATGGTCAGTGTTGCTATATGGCGTAGAGGGCTGGACACTCAAAAAAGGGATATAAACAGATTAGAAGCTTTCGAAATGTGGTTTTATCGCCGTATCCTAAAAATACCATGGACAGCGAAAATCACAAATATAGATGTCCTTAAAAGAATAAACCAAGAACGCCAACTTTTCGAAACCATCAAGAAAAGGAAAACGGCGTATCTAGGTCACATCATGCGAAATGAAAAATACCAGTTCCTCCAACTTATAATCGAGGGTAAAATTGAAGGCAAGAGAGGAATGGGACGCAAGAAAATGTCCTGGCTCCGAAACATGGACTGGGAAAGGCAATGGACAGGGATTAACGACATAAAATCCCTGATACATATTGCAAGAAATAGAGAATTAATGGAAAATGTGATCGCTAACATCCATTAGTGGATTTGTATCTGAAGAAGAAGAAGAACTAAAGGATTCGCTTAGTTTGGATTCGTTTTTAATGGTTGTATGCCTGTTATATTTGTTATGTTCTGTATTGTAAAAAGCTTTTCTTCTTTTCTTCACAGTTTGTCTTTACATCATTTCTAAACCATGGAGTTTTCCTTTTTGATATGTTAGTGTTTGTTACTTTCCTCTCTTCAAGTAATTCTATTGCTGCGTTAATTATTTTATTTTTGAGTTTTTCCCAGCTTTCCTCGAGGCTATCGTTTTCTAATATTTCATTCCCAGCTACCTTCTCTGATATTCTTTTCCTGTAAAAGTTTTTCGTGGATTCCGTATTTAGTCCTTCTACTTTGATTTTTGTTTGTGTTGGCGTTGCTCTCTTGGGTGAGAAGTATTTCAGGATGATTTTTATTTTACATCATACTAGGCTATGGTCACTACCCACATACATCTGCTGAGTTAAGACATCTTGCGTCGATGATTTTCGTTGGATGTATATCTTTGTTGGTTATAACATAATCTATTATAGATTTTTGTCCACGAGACTTCATTAAATGTATTTTATGTTGGTCTTTTTGGTCAAAAAATGTGTTGTTTATTCTTAGTTTGTTATTCGTGCAGAAGTTATTCATCAGTTCTCTATTTTCGTTTTCAACATTCTTGTTATGTTTTTGTTTAATGCCGGTTATTACTTGATTGCCTATTCGAGCGTTAAAATCTCCTAATATTATCATCTTGTCTCTGACTTGATCTACTACTTGTTGTAGTTGGTTATAAAACAATTCCCTTGTTGTTTGACGCTTGTTATTTTTTGGGCTCTATACTCCGATAATGTTCAGGTCTTCCTTCTCCATTTTTCTCCACTTTTTAATGTGATTTTGGTACTTTTGGTTTACTAGTAAGGCTACACCTTCTTTGGCCATGTTTTCTTTTGCTACTCCACTGTAGATTAGTATGTATTCACCTAATTTGGATTGGCTTCTTTTTTTTGTTTCCTGTAGGTCACAAATGTCTATTTCTTTCTCGTTTAGCACTTGAGTTACTTCTTTGGTCCTTAAGTTGAGCGATCTGATATTCCAAGTAGTAATTCTCAACTGGGTTTAAGATGTTTTTGGCTTGTTCTTATTTCTTGTCGTAGCAGTCTTCATAGTATCAATCCGATTCCGAGGTAATTGTTTCTTTAAGCGGTATTTGCAATAATTTATGTAGATGGTTAGTTAAATCGTTGCTTATTTACGTAATCCAAAATCTGTGTTAATTCACCAAATAAATTTTACATTTTTTTTTGTACAAAAAGATATGCACTTTTTAACAAAACATAGCATTTCGAGTTTTTATTACCATAAAAAATTTGTTAATATTTAGTAGTAAATATATTATTTGTAGTTAGATGTCTTTATTGTTGACGTATTTTTTATTGCAGAGTGGTGCCATAGCAGCCCTACCGTATTTAATGCAATTTTTGGCTGGATATGTGTTCAGTTTTATTTCGGATTATCTACTAGGTAAAAATGTTTGGTCCATTGGTACTGCACGAAAAACTATGAATCTTATCGGTAAGTCAAATTTCATAATTATGCTATAAATTTGGTAATATTTCCGTACACCGGCAATGGGATTACGTTCCAGTAGAGCTCTCTCTCTAACTCTTGTTTTTCCCCATTACTAAGGAGCGTAATTTTCTCCAATCATCCTAACAAAGTTTCTCTATTGGTTTTTATCTTCGGCTGATCCAAAAACTTTACAGAATTAATGGCCAGCTGAATTCTAAATTTGCTCCTCTTGCTCTTTTCCTTGGAACGTTTCCAGAAATAATCCTTCTAAATTATTTTTACCTCTGCTAATCACTTGACCAAAGAACTGTAGAATTCACTGCAGTTATATTTTCGACAGCCTTTTTTTTAACCAAGTTTTCTAAAAATGTATTTGTGCACTGTCGTGACTACTAGACATTTATTAGGTTAGTGGTTTCGATTAAATCATAAAAATGCATAAATAGATGTAAACTATATTAATTTTAATAACTTAAAAGAAGATTTAGATAATTTTAAAAACGTTTTACATATATTTTTCTTAAAAAACAATTTTTGCCTAATGTACATTTATTTCTTCTAACGCATCGCAAAACAGTTTTGTTTTCGTAATAAGCAAAGTATACATTGTATTTTTCATAACGTATTTTTGACCGACTGAAAATTTTTGTTTATTTATGCACGAGGAATAATGATTAAATTCATCGTGCCTTTAAGCCTGTAAGGGTTTATTTGATCGTCTGTATTTAGGAGAGGAATTGGGAGTCTGGTTTTCATTACTTTCAGTTTCTTCGTTATTTTTTTTTCAATTAGTTGGTTCATTAACGAGCTCATTAGCTACTCCCATCCTCAGCTTCAAAATATCCACGATTGTGGATGGACAATTCCTTTAATAGTCCATATGGTGGTTTTCATAAAAATGAAATTTTCATACACATTAGGCGTAGTAACATCAATATATTTTGCTCCTTGTTAATCCCAGTGTTTTACGTTAATATTTTTATTTAAAGATTACAATTGGATGAAATAAGAACAGACTTATTGTTATTTTATTTTAAAACAGCTGTACTGTCGCACCTGTTAACCACAAAAATATTAATAGAAAAATGTAACGAATACAAGTTTCCAGTTTTCCTAGCATTTGTAGACTACGAAAAAGCTTTCGATACCATAGAACAAACAACCGTAATAAACGCAATGCAAAATTGTAGAATAGACAGCAGATATATTAACTTAATAAAAGAAACTATGAACCAAGCTACAGCTACATACTACCTAAATGAAAATGAACACACGAACCCTGTACCATTAAACAGGGAAGTCAAACCGGTAGATACTTTATCACCCAAACTCTTCACCTTAGTTTTGGAGGACGTTTTTAAAAACCTAAATTGGAAATATAAGGGAATAAACATCAATGGCCGCTACCCCAGTAATCTACGATTTGCAGATGACATAATCCTGATAACTACTGACCTACAAGAAATGCAAACCATGCTTTTAGAACTACATACCGAATCTTCTAAAATAGGACTAAAAATGAATTTAAACAAAACAAAAGTCATGCACTCCGAAGACACCGTAACAATAATAAACGATAAAGTTATAGAAAAAGTTAAAGAATATATATACTTACGACAAAAAATAATCCTAAATAGGGAAATTCAAACTGAAGAAATAAAAAGGAGAAGAAAGTTAGCTTGGCCAGAATTCAGTAAACTGAACTATACACTCAGAAATCAACAAATTCATTTATTTATTACATCTTAGATCTAAAGTGTTCTATGCATGCATTATTCCGATATTAACTTATGCGGCACAAACATGGACAATCACAAAAAAGAATATGAATATACTTAGAGTCACTCAACACACGATGGAAAGAGCAATGCAAGGTATATCACTTAAGGACAAGAAAACAAACATATGGGAATACGCTGGACATGTAGCTAGGAGCGATCTAAATAAATGCACAGATTAATTTTAACCTGGAGACCATACCAACACAAGAGACCCAGAGGCATACCTCCTATGAGATGGACAGATGATCTTAAAAGGACTGCCGGGAAAAATTGGCTACAAGTAGCGTACAATAAAAAACAATGGAAAGGAAGACTTGAAGAGGCTTATGTTCAGATGTGTACGTGAATGGCTAGACGAAGAAGAAGAATATTGTCGCATACAAACTTGTTTTTCTTGTCCTGATCTTGTCTTCATAATATGTCCATGATAGTTTTTAAACTTTGAGCTATTTTTTAAATACTGTCATAATTTCATGCAAATCGAGGTTTTCAATTCAGAGGTTTTCAACTATTTCTAGCATCATATCCTAAACTAAAAGTTTCGATTATGGTATGCTTGAAAACCAATTTACTATCAGCACTAATATTCCAGTTTGTTCCTCTTAGAGGCTAACCTAACCTATTTACTCCGATGGAGAATTACTTACAACAAAAGAATATGGTGGGTGTAGCGGCAAATATGGCTCCAAATTACAAATATAAAAGGTCTTGGAATCTGCTAGCGCAAACATTTTTCATCCTTATTTATTTGGTTTATTAGGTATATACTGTACAAAACTGCGTCGACCTGTATATGCCACCCATTTTTCATCTATTGTGATATATTTAAATAGCGTGTAACCGTTTTTGCAAATAAAAGTAAACATTTCAAAAATTTCTCAAAATCAAGAAACAAAATGTATCTTAACTTAGGTGTTGTAGCAAAAATTTAAATCAGTACCTGGACATTGCTGGTCGAAACATCTCATCTACTGTACCGGCTTAATTCCAAAGTTTGTCTGTGCTTAACCTGCCACTTTTCTATATACTTGCCAAGTATTTTAACCAAGTAAAGCACAAATTTCCAAAGCATCTGTTTTCTTTGCTTTCCTTTCTCAAATATTGTTTTGCTTAGGAGTGTTTTATATGTAGGTTTGTAAATTCAACAATAATTATTGTTATCATGGTGTCGTTATAAAATATTTCCAAATATTTAAATCACCTTTTAAATTTTTGGTAACTTCTGAAGCACCTAGCAAATGCGTAATTAGGTCATCTGAACGCGCTCTACCATTTCTTCGAAGAATATTTTTCATCTTTCTAGTAGTTGTGTCCTTACCAAAAAAGTCCAGCAGAAAACATCATTTCAGCACTTCTTCCGTATCACATTTTTTTTGTCCTCTATCACAATTTTCAAACATTCGTTTAATGTTATTTTCTTCTTCGACATCGTCGTTCTTAATATTTTCATTCTACTGGTTTTGTCGAAGGCATTTATTCATTACACGTGGCAAAAACCTTTTTGTTCTGCCTTAAACATATACATTTTAAAATTTACAAAACTAACAAATTATGTTCAAAATTTGAACGGCAAGCGGAGAATTTGTTCGCTATCACCAATACCTTAACGTTAAAGAACAAGATGCGACTAACACTTCGTGCAACGAAATTAATTATATTTTTTGAAAGGTACATTGGCGGGCTAGAAGCAAGGTAGGCAGTTTTTGAAAAGTTGAGAAGTTTAGATGGGCGCGAAGATTTTGTCAAGGTTAAATACAAACTGACTTCTCCATCGATTCCGTAAAATCCTAAATTCTGTTTTCTCATAATATTCGTGTAACTTAATAACTACATCTTAATTAATTTATTTTAAATATTATAGGTTGTTTGGGACCAGCTTTAGCGCTGGTGCTGCTTCAAAGTGGAGGACCAGAACATGCTGTGAAAGCAATTGTGTTACTAACAATAGCGATTGCAACATCTGGAGCATGTTTTTGTGGATATACTATAAATCACATTGATCTATCACCAAATCATTCCAGTGTGTTAGTTGGAATAAGTAATGGTCTCGCACAATCGTGTGGGTTTTTAGCCCCTCTCTTTGTACAGGGTGTGGTAACAAATGAGGTAAGAATATAATATTTAGTCATATACACACTTCAAATTTTACTTTTGGAGATTGAGATATATTACCAAAAATTTCTATATGAATTCTAGCTTTTGGATTATGACTATCTAGTTCTTCTCGTGCCACTCCTAGCGGAGATTGGAAATCATCATGGACACTGCGACTTTGTTAGCAGCGCGCCTAAAAAGTTCAATCGAATTACACCCGAACCATTCACGTAGATTACGAAGCCACGATATTTTTCTTCTTCCCACACTTCTTTTGCCTTTAATTTTGCCCTGCATGATGTTTCTTAAAAGTTCGTACTTTTCACCTCTCACAATGTGCCCCAAGTATTCCATCTTTCTAGTTTTTATCTCATTTAGAATTTCGCATCTTTTGTCTAAAGTTTGGAGTACTTGCGTGTTAGTGACGCGGTCCATCCATGATATTCTGAGAATGCGCCTATAGCACCACATCTCGAAAGCTTCGGTGTTTTTTATGGTCAACTGTTTTAGTGTCCAAGCCTCAACTCCATATAACAGGGTAGAAAAGACATAACACCGCAGCATTCGTATTCGTAACTTTATATTGATATCACGATTGCAAAAGAGTTTGCGCATTCTATTAAAGACTGATCTAGCGATTTCTATTCTACATCTAATCTCTTTTGTTTGATCAGTATCGTCTGTGATCCAAGCACCTAGATATTTATAACAGGGCACACGCTCAATCGTTGTATTGTCTATTACAAGATTAGCTCTGATGTTCTTTGATTTCGTGATTAGCATAAATTTAGTTTTTTTCAAATTAATTTTCAAGCTGTAACTGTAACAGTATATATTAAGACTTTGAACTAGATGTTGTAGTTCTACTAGCGTTCCCGTTAGGAGAACTGTATCGTCAGCATACCTTATATTGTTGATCGTCTCACCATTTATTATCAGACCAAGATCTTCTTCCTCGAGTGCTTGTTCACAGATAGCTTCACTATACAGATTAAATAAAAGTGGTGATAAGATGCATCCCTGCCGCACTTCTCGACGGATTTGAATTTCTTCTGTTAGTCTGCCCTCAACCTTGACATTTGCTGTTTGATTCCATTGATATAGATTGCATATAATTCGAATATCTCGGCTGTCTATATTTTTCTTTATTAGAACTTGTCTTAGTGGTTCATGTTGTACTTTGTCAAAGGCCTTTTCGAAATCAATAAAGCAGGCGTAAATTTCTTGGTTCATGTCTAAGCATCTCTGTGAGAGAACGTTCATTGCAAACAGAGCCTCCCTTGTACCCAGCCCTTTTCTGAATCCCATCTGAGTGTTACTGATGTCTACGTCTAATTTCCTATAGATCCTATTATGGATTATTTTTAAGAACAGTTTTAGAGCATGACTCTCCTTTGACATTCCTTTGTATTTGCCTTTTTTGGCAGTAGTATAAAGGTCGAACGGAGCCATTCCCTAGGTATTATTCCAGTTCTATATATTGTGTTAAATAGATCTAGGAGTATTTTAATAGATTCATCGTCCATAAGTTTGAGCAGTTCTACGGGAATTTCATCAGGACCGGGGGCCTTACCACTTTTTGCTTGTTTGATTGCATATTCTATTTCTTCTCTGATTGTATCAGGCCCTGTATCATCTGTATATTCGTTTGAGATTTCTTGTCTATTTTTGTCATCAAACAGTTGTGATATGTATTCTGTCCAACGGTTCATTTTTTGTTGTAAATCTGTTATAATTATACCATCTGTATCTTTGATCTATCCTGTCTGTGTTGTTCTTCTCCTTCCTGTCATTTCTTTAATCTTTTTGTGTACATAAAAAAAGTCATATTTTCGCTCCAATTGTTCCAACTCCTGGCATTGCTCACTTAGCCATCTTTCTCTAGCTTCTCTTATTTTCTTTTTTATCAGTTTATCTGTTTCTTTGTATCTTATCGGATTATTTGTTTTGTGTACCCTTCTTTCACGCATCAACTGTAGTATTTCCTCATTCATCCATTCTTTATGTTTTCTTTCTTTCGGTGTTAAATTTTCTCTCCCTGCCAACATTACGGCATGTTTAATATTCTCCCATTTTTGGTCTACGTTATCAGTATTTCTATTCAGTTTCTTTATATTTTGTAAATTTTCTTTGATGTTCACTATTGTTTTCTCTTTTATATGTTGTTCATTCAGTCTTCTCACGTCAGTTTGTTTCTGTATGTGTTTTTCCTAGCAGATATAGGCTCTGATCCGAGCCTATATCTGCTCCTGGGTAGGTTTTAGCTGAGAGTATAGAGTTGCGGAATCTTTGACTAACAAGGACAAAGTCAATTTGGTTTCTGACTACTCTACCTTTCTTGTCACTCGGAGATTTCCATGTGTACAGTCGTCTGTTAGGTAACTTGAAAAGAGTGTTAGCAACTACTACTAACTACTAACTACTACTACTACTATCTAGTTATATTATACTTATTTATTTGTTTTATAACAAACACATTTTACAAACTAAAATGTAATTACAAGTAGAAATTTTTCATACACACATAATATGATCCAGAGACCCCAGCAATTTTGAAAAATGTATAACCCCATTTGTGGGTTTTGTTTTTTTATGTATTACGGTAAGTTACCTGCACGTGTTCCTTTATACGCTACCATCGTCTCATCAATAGAGTAGTCATTTTTAAGATAAAATTTCCGACAATTCTGACGAATGTCCTCAATAAGAGGTCGTGTCTTGACAAATCTGTCTTTTGTAGCCGGTGTAAAAAGGCTCTAGTATAGTCTAGTATAGTATAGCTGGTTTATACGAGCTATACTGCCCAATAGTCTTCATATGCCGGTAGTTTTATTATTCTCATTAGAAAAAAAAATATAAATAAAGTCTAACATTTCTTTATGATTATGCTAATGCTGGCTCCCCTCTCTTGAGTACTGTAAAGATTTCGCCCCCTCAGTGCAAGACTGCAGTAACTCAAAATTTTATGAAAATGAAGTAATCATGTAAACATGCATATTTATCCCCTGTAAAACTTTAGTAACTTTTAAATGCTTAACCGGCTTAATATTACAACAACAACAGTTTAACTATTTTACGTTTTTGTACATAAGTTCCGTGCAAAACTGTTGTAACTCTAATGTAACAAGAGTTACAACAGTTTTGCACGGAACGTTGCAATGGTTTTGATAACAAGCAATAAAAGGCACAAAAAAAGTAAGATATTTGTTATTTTAATTTTTATATCTGAGGTGTTCTGACGAATGTCCTCAATAAGAGGTCGTGTCTTGACAAATCTATCTTTTGTAGCCGATGTAACAAGGCACTAGTATAGTCTAGTATAGTATAGCTGGTTTATACGAGCTGCCCAATAGTCTTCATATGCCGATAGTTTTATTATTCTCATTAAAAAAATATTATAAATAAAGTCTGTCATTTCTTTATGATTATGCTAATGCTGGCTCCCCTCTCTTGAGTACTGTAAAGATTTTGTTTGATCTACTTTTTTATGAAAAAACATAAAAAAATTTCATGAAATATTCGAGTGAAGATAATATTTCTTCATTGGCATTTGCAATAAAACTTTCTCTATTATCTACAGCTTTTATATCTTCTTTTAACCAATTATATGTAGGTTTGGACTTTTTCTTTTTTTTTTGCATAGCAGTTCTCTCGAGCTGTTTGGGGTAGATTTCACATCAGCAATGTTATATTTTTGAATGTGTTCATCGTATTGTAAAATGATACGATCAGAATCACTGTCATCTGTAAAAGATATTGTATCAGATTGTATTCGACGACGATATAAAACCATATTTTACCTGACAACTGAAGTGATACCGGTTTCTGTATAGATTTAAAAACAGGCTCTTCGTCATCAGAAGTAACAGACCCATCAGATATCGTAGGATCTACTGGCGGCAATCTAGACTTATTTCTAGACTTATTTCTAGACTTATTATTCTAGATCTACTATAAAAGAGCGAGTTGGTATTTCTATCAACAAATTTTCCATATCCATATTTACTGAAAATTAAAAAATCGTTATGGGGCAAAGTAAAGATATATACATTTGATTTTCAGATGCAATTCAATATCAAATACTACAAATAATGTATGTACATAATGACAGAAACATTAATAGTAGGTCTGGAATATGTTTGAAGAATAACATTTATGAAATCGTAAATAAACTTACCTAATACAACACTTTCTGCAATCTGTGTTTACCATAACCTCAAAGTTCACCTGTTACCGCCAAAACAAATTGATGTTATTTTCAACTCTGTGTTTCACGACTATTACCCCCTATCGACACACAATGTAACCACTCCGTAACATCGTTTATTCGTATGTAAAAGGCAGGGAACATGCTGCAGTGTACTTTGAAATCAGTGCAACCATATGGTTTCAATTCCCGATAAAGGGTTAAAGTCGATAAATTATTTTGCTTCACAGCTACAAGGTTGCTTCCTACCGCCAACTGTTTATCGATAATTAAGTATTTTCAGCAGAAGATGCTACGAAATTGTCTACATCATACAAGAACTTGAAAAACAATTTGGAATCTGGGTTTTGGAAATCAGGTTTTGATAAAAACATATTACATGATCATTAATCACAACAAATAAATGGCTTGAATTTGAATAGAATTCAGAATCGGTTTTTCTATTATTGAAAGCACTTCTACATACGCACTTCACCTTTTAAATCACAATCATTCTTTTAATGACGAATTTAAAATTCTTCACATTTAAAATAAAGGCCCTTAGCTATCCTTGTTAGAATCTATAGATATCAACAAATTAAAAAACACAGATATAATTCTGAATGACCAACAGACAATGAATGACTAATTAATAAATATGCTCTTATAACAAACAAAAAGTTTATATCTATAAAACAATCTGTGTACAATCAAACTCTATTTCAGGGGTGCTCAAACTTGAACTGCTGGCGATCTACCTCAATATTTTAGACTACTTACGATCGACTCTGAGAGACTGCAAGTGTGTGTGATGCAGGGTTGTCTG